GCTACCCCAGATTAAGTACAAAAAAATAATAAAAATTGAAATAGTTATTTGAAAAAAACATACCCAAAAAAAGTGCAACATTTTCAGTCATTTTTTGATCCTTAAAATTAATAAAATCGTCAACATTTTTTAACAGCATGATAATATAACTCTTTACGAAGAAAATAAACCGAAAATCGTTACTGTAGGGCTATCCGCTGAGAAGATCTAGCCAATTTTCGAGAGCGCCTTTTTTTCAAAAAATCGATATATCTCGAAATATAATTAATATTTTTAAATTTTTCAAAAATGTACTTTTTTGGCTTGCCGCGGGCTATGCTTGCAGTAAATAGCAAATATGGACACGTAAATGTAAACGAGTTATAGAAGAAGAGAAAAGAGACAATTTTTAACGGTTTTTTCGATATATCTCGAAAAGTAACTAAGCAATCGATATTTACAAATAATCAGTAGATAGATCTTTTTAAAACCTACAACTTTCTTATTTAAAATTTTTCAATCGGTGCTATATTTTTTTAGTTATTTTAGAAAAACAGTTTTTTGCAATTTTGCGATTTTTTTTAACCATGTTCGCCATTTTGGATCGAGTTTAAAGAATAAGAAATTCAATTTAAAATTTAATTTTCTACATGGTCATATTTTTTTTGTCCAGGTAATAATTTCTGCAAGTTTAACATTAATCCGTGACAGAATGCTTGGACTACTAAGAGAGATCAAGAATTTACAGTTAGTCCAGGCTGTATCGTCGCTCCCGCTAGGAACATGATTCTCATTCGATTTATTTTCATAATCTTACCAAAAAATTGACCCTTGAAACATATCCGCATGTTGCCAGACGTGACTAATGGTCAAAAATTGTTTAAACAATTTTTTTTTAAATAAAATCGTAATTTTCGATTTTTTCGCTTGAAATAAATTTTTTTAGGCTTTTTGGGGTATTTTGGTCCAGGGTCCGCAACGGCTTGGTTCTTGAGATACCGAGCATCCAAAAAAATTTTGTTTCAGCAATTATTGCAAATGTGCAAACTTATTCGTAGAAGTAGTTTAGTCTCAGTTTTGTAAATGATCTAAGTTTGTCACATGGCAATACAATCAATAAAAGACACATTCTTTCATTAATTTTTCAAAAATTCTTAATGATTCAATTTACAAAATTCCAACGCAGGTTTAACTTTAAACCTGTTTTTTACAAAACGGCTCCTTTCAGCGACAAATACTAAAGAGTACCTTTTATAAACACGTAAAATTGAATGGAGAATACATATGTTTAGTCAAAAATGACATACAGCGCGACGCAAAAAGGTTATGGTCATTTTAACCCAGTGGCGAGACTCCTGAAATCTCGATGTTGTTTTATTGATATCGAGATTATTACGAAGCCCATCTCGATCGATTCGACTCGAAATGTAAATTAGTAGGTATGGTCTTCCCGACATCAATTGAAGAACCAAGAGGATGACAGTAGGTATGTAAAGTTTTTCCGAAGTCAATTGAAGAACCTATAATTTCAAGGTATGTACCAGGCTTGGTCGCTAAGCAGCAACTCAGCATTGAAATATTTGAAAAACTTGTTCCCATATTTATTTAGTCATGCCCATATATAGGTCTGGTCGAACTAAATGTGCAGGTGGTAGAAATGTATACGACCAGTTGAAGAATGCGAGCGCGGCCAAAGTAAAACGAGCACAGTTGTATTGGACTTCTAGGCAATAAATCACAGCAGGCGACAAGTGGTTCATAAATTGCCCAGCAGTGCAGTGTTGCAGTGCGGAATTTGGTGTGAATCAGGCAATTTTAATTTATTATAGTCACCTTCTATCAATCATTCATATTACAATCAGAGAACACTATACCAACGAGAAGCGACAGAATCGGCGGTTCCTTTGATGTTTTGTGGTCACGCTAGAGTCTACCGATTTGACAGAAACACAATCGTTTACACTGAGAGAAGTTACACTTTTGAATAGATGTACACTGAACGAACTGCATCAGTATCAAACATTATTCATATAATACAAGGATAAATGTGGTAAAATGTAGACAAATTAGGTATAATATATATAAAAAAATAAAACAAGATGTTTTACAACTAATACTTTTATTAAACAGATATAACATTTTTCTGCAATATTTGAAATAGTTTTTTAAAAATAGGTACCTGACAATGCAATAACTTCTTTGTCTTCTAGTTTGGGGATACGGCAACTTTTACCAATAATTTCTTTCTTTTTGAGAAACCACTGAAAAAAGTTTCTAATATGGATTACGAATTTTGCCATTCATCGTACAAATAAAAATGTCACAAAACAATATCAGACGCATTTTAAAAAAGCTACACATCATTTTATATTGTTCAAATACGCTTCCGAAATGGAAATTTTCTAATGTTGAGACCATCGTGAATATGGTAACAATGACGAACTGATAATTAGAAAAACTTAGTTATGATTATGAATCTTGAAATGGTAGGTACATGAAAAACAAATAACATTACTGAAAAATAATATAAAGTTACAATTTCTTCTACGCATGGTCAATATTACAAATATCCTTTTAATAATAATAAATTATACAGCAGAAATAAGGATACAAAATGATATGATGACAAAATAAATATCTGTAGGTATACCTAAACTCTTTTATTTAAGCATACCTATACACATAAACAAATATAAACATTTGTACAAAATATAAAATAAATGACGTCTATTCCATGTTCCATTTTCTTAGTTCTTGCCCCTTGTCCTCTTGTCTATAATAAGTAGTGGGTATAACTATGTTTAGGTAGATGTGACTCAAAATTTGAAATCTCTTTACACATATCGTTTTAAATATTTTGCATTAATATTCAGTATTTTATATGCACCTTACAATAACCACAACTGCATACGCTACAAATTACCACATAAAATAGCGTCAAAGAACAACGAAGCCAGGCAAACTGCCAAACCGCAAACCTAACCTAACATAATACGAATTGAAAACGACACACGGGAAACAAATAAACTCGGGCTGTCAAGCGCAGTCTACGCAAGTCACGAACATACATTTTTTCTAGACTTTGTGTTATAAATATGCTACCATAATTTTTTTTTCTGTTTATGTTGTTTGTATAACAAAGAATTAAACTAACGCTTGAGAGGGATTGGGGATTGAGAGCAAAATTTAACTAATGCCAAATGTTCCATAAGATAAGCAAAAAAAGCAAAGGGTTGTTTGTCTGTTATGTTTCCGAGATCGAAAGGGAATGTTTCGAGTAATGCTTCAAACTCTCTTCAATTGGAACGTTTCGGCTATGTTTCACTAAATAAGTTTTCAAGTGCTACATTTCTGTAATGAGACAGACATGTTTCTAGTTAATGTGTCAAATGTTTAGTAAAACAGCTCATTTGCAACGTTTCATTTACGTTTCGTGTTTAGTGGGAAAATAGCAAAAAATCATGAAAAAGTGTTAGGAAAGATACAAATTTTTTTTTTCTATTTTAAAATGTTCATTTATATGGTTAAGACCCCGCCGAAATTTAATCCGTAGTCAGAATTGATGGTTCTTGTTCTAACCTCAAAAAAACGGTTCAATTAAGGTCAGATAGAATTTTCAAAAAATAACAGATTCACCCCAAAATTGGTGCTGGGGGGTTTTCGGGGTCGCTGATCACGGATCCGAGGTCAATATTACAAAATTCTAGATGGCGGATCCAAGATGGCCGACCAAATTTTCAAAAAATAACCCATTCGCGCTAAATTTGGTATACGTTTTTTTTGGGGTCGCTGATCACGGATCCGAGGTGAATTTTGCAAAATTCAAGACGGCGGATCCAAGATGGCTGAACATATTTTCAAAATATAGCATTCGCGCCAAATTTGGTATACGAGGGTTTTCGGGGTCGCTGATTACGAACTCGAGGTCAGAATTGCGAAATTAATTTTGAAATATGTTTGTTTACTTTTTAACCTGAGTATCCATTCATGTTTTAACCTTCTTAAAGTACATAGGTAATTGATTAAATTTTTAAAAACGAATTTGGAAATGATTCGTAGTCATCGAATCGACATTTCGGGAGTCCCTGCCCAGGTACAACAGTGTATGTGACGCCCTCTAACATTAAACAAAAAACTAAGCAAATATTTGAGTTTCTCATCAATACCCAGTTTCACAATTTTCGTCAAATTGCTATGTTATTGATTAAAGATATAGGTAATCAAAATAAAAAACAAAAATTTTTTTAGACGATCTGTATCTAAAGAACCAAGCTGTTGTAGACCCATGTTTCTGTTAGTAAAACGTGTACGTATTTAAATTTTTGAATAGGTACATTAGTTAGCCAAATGAATATGGTTATGATTTATAAATAAGTTGACTATTAACGATATTTGAATGATTGTTATGCACATTGTTAGGAGAAAAAGATTTAGCAAGAGCTATTATTTTTTTGGTTTTACTAAAAAATATTTTAAGAATCTTTTCTGGATGAGAATTGTCCACTAAAGGATACCTACCCTTCAATTACCTTAGGGATTATTCTTTAAATTGTCGATGTGTTAGATTACAAACTTTGTATTTAAAGTGTCAATTCTCTGAATATGTATAAGACGAAATGAAATTCTCTTGATCAATAAAAATGTTTTCCCGGTTAGAAAAGGTTTTGAACGTGCCTACATTTTCATTGACAAAGCTAGAATAAAATACTTTAAAAAGTATTAATTGAACTTTCAAACGCAATTAAAGCACACATAATTCGGACCGGCGAAATTAACTGTGGAAACTATGCAAATAATGCATAATTCGGCCTAGAAATCCTTGAATGTTGGTAGCTGAGGCGAAAATACTATGTTTGCTTTTTTGCATCTGTATTCTGTAGCTGTATTTTTAGTCTTAGGTTCTGACATCTATCAGCTGATTAATAAAGTAGTGCAAAACGACAGACTGGAGCGTGCGCATTTAAAAGTTATGACGAAAACAGAATAGGGGGAGAAAAAGGGAGTTTAGAAATGGCCGCCGTGAGTAGTGGTCGGAGTGCTATGGATCATCCATTAGAAACGCAAAATGGTGCAGTGGACCGTTTGAAAAGACTTTATCCAGCTGTGGATGAGGCTAAAACTCCCTTACCCAGAGCTTGGAGTCCTAAGGAAAAATATAACTACATTGGACTATCCCAGAATAATTTACGTGTGCATTACAAAGGTAAGAAGACCTTTCAAGGATTATGGTTTATGTTAAGACTAAAATGTGTAGTATGCTTGTCCTTCTGCGCCATTCTTATAATTTCATAAACGTATTTATTCTCATATAACTTCGTTCTGGTAAAAGTCATCGACCGAGTTGTTTTTGAATAGAAACTGAAGCAAACAAAGAAATCAGCTGATCATGACATGGGGTGAAATGAGACTCTGGTGTAATTGTAAATCGTCACAATGAATTAGTGTTTTTATTACTTGGTTATATTTTTAACTATTACGTGTTAATAAACTGCTTTATTTTCTTACACTTTTTAATATTTGAATATTTAATTAGCCATTGCTAAATTTCACTCTGCCATTATACTTCCCACTAATTGTAAGTAAATAATCATATTTTTTATTCGATTTTAGATACAGTATTATTTTACTTATTAGTAATGTGAATTTACCTACTTACACATATTTTTTAAATTTGTGTTTAATTACGGTATAAGATAAAAATAACTAAATCTGAAGATTATTTTAGCCTTAAATATAGATCGTAAATAAATCTGTAAGTATGCATTCAAAATAATGTTATTGCTTTTTCTCGTATGTTCTACACGCCTACAAATAAAAACAATTTTTTTGTTGCAACTGCTATCGATTTGGAAGTGATTTTTCAGTTGGAAATTAAAAGCTTTAATTGCGTCGAATAGTAAATTTACGCAGGTATATTTATAATGTCCTATTGTCCATTAGTAGGATTTAATATCTCACAATTAAAGAGAAATTTGGGGTTGTAAAGATTAAGTTTAGATGATAGTACTATTATGTATAGAGTGTTTCTTGATAAATTACTCGTCCTTTATTCATCTTTTAAAAATCCTTATTTTTTGACATATTTTCATATATTTTTTGTTAGCTATTATTAATTTTTTTTAGGAAAACTAATTCCTATTTAGCATAACTTAAAACCTACCTGTACTGATTTTGAGTGTTCTAAAGCATAGGATGCTCGAGAAAAACATTTTTTTTTATTGTAGGTGTTTATTTTTTTATTACTAATACAAATTATTGTTAATTCAAAACTTACACCATTTTTTACAAAATGGTAAAAAAACAATGAAGAGTTTTGTAAAAAAGTTAAATTTCAGTAATTTCGATTAATCCACCGAATCTCCCTAGACATTTTTCAATTCGTCGACGATTATTCCATATTACATTTATTAAATGCTGTCTATACTCCGATAAGCTTTTCTTAATGGCATAAATGTGCCTTAATATTAATAAATACAAATAATCAGCAATTGTCGAAACTGACCAATCGACATATTCGCATTTTTCTGCAATAGTATATTCGATCGTTGTTTGGTAATAAAGCTAATTAAGTAGTAAGTACCTATACTGTCAAAACAAAAAAATATTAGTTTATTACCAGCTGTCAGTTGCTGATGCTGTAACTTTGAGTGCAGCTTAAGTTTGACGAGTCTCCCAAGATTTGACTACGAGGAAAATTCAACAGTGGTAAGTTTTCCCATGATTTTCAGGAAAATATGTCAATCTGGCATAAATATGGAATGTTATGACCAGCACTTTTTTTTAAGATTAAATGAAAGATATATTTTTTTAAACCCCCCAAAAAATTTGTCCGACAAAAATTTTGGCATTTTAAGTTTGTCTCCCACCCCAAATATGTCGATTTGGTGACATTATGGTTGGTGACAACCAGCAAGCTGATTTTACTGGGAGGGTTTGGTAGGTAATAAGATTTGAAATTAAAATATCTTATTGTCCGACAAAATTCTTGAGAAGTTTTTGCAGTCCGACGCCCCGTAGATGTCGTAGCTTGGTTATAACCAACTGTTGGACAAAAGCGTCATTATTTAAAAAATACAATATTAATGTGAGAATTTAATTGTCCGACAAAATTATCGTTTTTTTTTATTGTCCGACAAAATTAAACGATAAAATTTTGCAGTGTCAATACTTACACACGACGTAGAAGAAAAATTTATATTTAATAAAAAAAAATTTGTTTAAACTTCTCAAATTTCAAAATAAATATGACAATTAATTTTTTTATACAATTACAAAAAAATTGTATGAAGAGTGTCCCGTTCATATTTCAAAAAAACTTGTGTGCAAGTACACGAGTAAACATCAACTGTGTATTAAGAATAATGTGCAAACGGTTTCTCTCTGAAAAGCAGTGTCGTCGATGCAGGTAATTGGAGGGGTACAACCGAAAAAAAAAATGTTAAAAGTAAAAATTTGTTACACTTCTAAATGGTTCTGTGAACTCTAAAGCAGGGGTCGGCAAGTAGATCTAGGTGGAGTCCGGATGCTTTTGAAAATTTTTAACGAGGTCTAGAAAAAAAACTCGTATTCCTTACTAATTTTTTGTTATAATTTGCATTCACAAAATAATATGAAATATAACAGATAGGCATATGTGAATTCAAAAATTAATGGGAGAAGTGTCATTTGCGGTCTTGAGTTAGTTTTTTTAGTAACCTAAAATTAAAAAGGGTGGTACTCAAACGTATTGTTATCCATAGAAAAATATATTTTTAAATAATTTGAGTAATTATACTTTCAAAACTTTTTTGGCGGCCCCGTTTTTTATCTTGCGCGGTCCGGATCTGGACCGCGGTCTGCCAGTTGCCGACCGCTGCTCTAAAGCATAATACAAAACAAGGTATACTTGTCGAAATTCGGTAGCATGTACCGTTTTCGAGGAAAATGAATTTGCATTTTTTTGCTCACATAAGGCGGCACAAGTACATTAACAAAATATTAAATTGAAAGAGGACTTTACCATTGAATGAGCTGAAGACATTTAGCTATCAACAGTACTTGCATTTAAGACTATAATTTTAATTTCTTACGCATCACATGAAACGGTTAAATTGTAAAACATTTTATTAACTAGAAAAAAATTAAAATTTATTGTAAGTTTCAACTTGTTTTAAACTAACATTTATAAAAGTAAATTAAAATAAACAAATTATGGTAATTAATGATCTATTAATAACTAATTTCAGATTTTGTAAACTACAACACTACCACTAATAAAATAAACAATTGTTGAAATAACTGATTTGTTGATGGACATGAATGCTTAAAAAAGTGATAAGAACAGAAAAATATTAGGAAACAGACTCGGAGACATACAGAACAAAACAGCTGCATAATTAAATAAATGATCAAAACTCGAAATACTACAGTAGATGCTGAAATTGTCCCCCACTTGCTTCTATGCAGCTTAATTTTTCTTGATAATGGTACATGCTACCGAATTTGGACAAGTATATACAGGGTGTCCCATTTTTATTCTGAAAAAATTCAGGAAAAGGTAGATCCGATAAAATTAAAGGGACTTTGTTATATAAACTTATTTCGAAATCTGAACCTTTTCCGAAATACAGGGTGTTGAATTTGAATTTATTTTTTCATCTTTTGTTAATATCTCTTGGAGTTATAAACCAATTGTTCTCAAATTTTGTGTGGTGAATGCCACAGTGTACAAATACTAATACACAAAATCTCAGCTCGACAGAAAAAACCAGTGGCGTGCATTCCGCACTTGCCGATACCTTTTATAAAAGGTATGTGTTACGTCACTGACTGATCTTTAAAATAATAAATAATTTCAATTGTCCGTGCATTGTTCTGCCAAAAAGTATTGTTACGTTTTCTCCATAATAGGCACCGTTACGGAGTAAACCGACATTTTATAAAATCATCTCTGATCTTAATTTTAGCAGAACTGTTTTAATCAACAACTGAAACGCTCAGGTTGTTTTAATTTGGCTTCAGTATTCCTTATCTAAAAAATGTTAAAGCACATTCCTGGTTAATTTAATAATATTAAATGTTCAAATTGCAAGCCACTGGCTGCAATACACTTTGTTCACTCGTAGTGACAGAAAATTAAAAATCAGAGTTGCTTTGAAAACAGTTTTGGTTGTCATAATAAACTTGACATGATCACTCTTTGTTGAGAAACGAAAACTTTTTACATTAATTACTCGGATTTAGCTTTTTATAAAATACCATTAAGTGCTTTAATAATGCCATATAAATTTTCAAATGCTGAATATGCTGATATTGTGTTCTGTTACGGATTGTGTAATGGTAACGCATTGGAGGCATCTCGAGAATACAGACGAAGGTTTCCTGATAGACGACATCCAAATTCTCAATTATTTACTGATGCATTTCAAAGACTCCATGAAATTGGTAATGTACGAACATTAGAACATTAGAGCACAGAAATCAAAGAATAGATTTGAGAATATTTGAACAATATTTAAATATTCGTTGATACATTAATGATACACTTTTTGTTTAGTTTATTAAACGTTAATGTGCATAAATTTTATAATTAATTATTGTTATTAAATCACTGAAAGAATTTTAAATGTTTTAATTTTTTCCAACTTAAAAAAAACATCATTGTTAGTAATCACAGATAGTATTCAATTAGCCAGGAGTGCGCTTCAGCATTTCTTAGATAAGGAATAGTGATCGAGTTCTGCTAAAATTAAGATCAGGGATGATTTTATAAAATGTCGGTTTACTCTGTAACTGTGCCTATTATGTAGAAAACGTAAAAATGCTTTTTGACAGAACAATGCACGAACAATTGAAATTACTTATTATTTTGAAGATCAGTCAGTGGCGTAACA